CTGCTGGCTGGCAGAAAGTGCACTAGGGCAGCACTGCAGGTTGCTCGTCTTGGTGCACTGGTCTTCCAAGGCCTCTCTTAGTGTCCACATCAGCACCAGGACACTGGAATGCACAGATCTGAAGGCTAAGTGGTTTGACAGACCCAATGCTTCTGTATTTTTCTGCCTCTGTCAGGACCTAGGGTGTAGCTCTGCTCCCCTGATCATCACCAGCTTACACAACTAGGCCGTGCTGCTCTGAGGTAGCAAGCTCGAAGTAACTATGTGAGGTTCAGCGTGCCATCCCTAATGCTCTTGCACCAGTGGTGCACCATAGCATGAATGTTAATAAGATGTGATAGGAATGTATTTAGATGTTACAGGCTTATAAAAGGTGTAAGGAAACGAGTTGTGGCAGCCTGTGTGTATAGGTGGTACTACTGCAGTATAGAGATGGTACATCTCAAAAAGGTTTAATAATGTGCTTTATGATGTCCATGGGCAGAGAGGTGAAGTGTTGGCTCGAGGTGACGAAACTGCAAAACGGGGATGAAAGCAGTCAAAGCTTTTAAAATACCTAAATAATCGCCTGCACTCTTACCGTGGATTTGTAGTGCATTTCCCTCAAACCAGTGCAGGAACCCAGCCTGAGGTCACCACCTTCCTGCTGGCTGAGCTCACCTGTCTGTTCAGGGTGATTTGTTTATGGGATTAGGTCCCATGGTCTTATTCCCAAATTCTAATCACCACTTTAGTGTTCGTTTTTAGCCAGATCATGTCTGCAGCTGGAGGAGGAGCAGAAAAAGGAGGGTCTCTCCTTTTTGGTAGCAGCACAGACTGGGATTGCCTTAGCCTGAATGGGTATCTGGTATGAAGGCAGTCCATGCAGCAGTATATGTGGGGCTGGTCTTTCCAGCACTATCCATATGCCTGCAGTAACATATTCAGTAATGTGTACTCAGCTGGCAAGATAATATCACCTTAAGGATAAGGAAGTATTTAATTTAATGGTTTGCTTTATTCTGTCATTGTTTCTTGCAGCTGTTAGACTTAAAGCCACGCCTCGGGTCTTGCTGATTACATTTGCTACTTCCAAAGCCTGCTCTGCTTTGATGGGTGATGAGGGCAGCTCAGGGTGAAAGAGGTGAACCTACAGTGTTCAGCAAACACAGGAGCATGCAGTGCCACTGCACACGTGGGCAGGCCAACTCCTGACACTGACAATTCCTCTTTAGACAAAGACATCTTGGCACAGACAGGCAGCTGGTGTAATGAAGGACCCGTGCTGGGACTGCAGGTGAATTGCCAAGGTTCCTTTTAGAGATACCAGGTTTGCAGGCAGGGGGTCCCAGCATAGTCAGGAGGGCTGCAGTCAGGCACGGGGCTGAGAGGGGCAAGTCATCCCTGAGCACAAATCTTCATAGACTAGATTTCATCTATGTTCCCACTGAAATTAAAAGGGCATGATTTGATTGTCTGTAAGGATTCCACTGAGTAACCATTTTCAAGGAATGTGAGGCTAGTAGGAAAAGGGGAGTATCTTTTACAGATGAAGTGCTTTAACTGGGGGAAAAAAACCAACCCAAACCAAAAAAAAAAAAACCCACCGAAAAGCTTTTGGGCACTTGAGCAGTTTTTGAGAGCTGAAATGATCAAAAAGGTTCAAGCTAAGTGCAGGCTGAGAACAAATGCTCTGAGTTTAACTCAGTTACGCTAATCAATTAGCAGCTGATTTTTAAAACATTTAAAAGAACAGAATTAAAAAGGTTTCCTGTTCCAGAGCACATTTACTCAATATAACAAGTATGCTACTTCTTCTCAGGTTTCTAAAGGGGAAATTTCTAATGTGGCATTCAATGTACTTGCTGGGACAGGAGTTAATGCTAGTGCAGTTTAGCTGTCCTGAGTGCAAGGGCTATGGTCTCAACCAAGGACAGCAAGCGTGTAACATTATTGGCGCAGGGGCATGTGGTTCTGATGTGTTTTTACCAGCTGCCACACAGGCAGCTGCTGATGGCTCCTGTGTCCCAGGGTCACCGGGGATGTCTCTTGGGCATGCGCTGCTGTTCCTGCTTCAGCATCCACCGGGTTTTTTGGCAGAGCAAAAGAGACACCCTCATGACTGGCTGAAGTAATTTGAGTCCACTGCCATGTTCTCACTGTGGCTGTTCAAGTGATGTGCTCAGGGGAAAAAAAAAATCATCCCATTTCTAGACAGAATTTTCCATCCTAGCTGCAGCCATGGGGTCTTACTCTGACCCTCTCTGTGCAGTTAAAGCATTACCTGTGCCTGATATCCCCTTTAACTGACAGATCAACTGCATCGGTATCTCCCTGTAGGCTTCCCAGCCTCAAATATCTGCTTGACTCTTACTTGATCTTTCCTGTTCTTCAGTAAAGAGCATGACATGCCATAATGGGTGGACTAGTAAAGCACAGTGGTACTTATAGAAGGGTACAAGGACAAAGTAAGTATGGAAAAGTCCTTCCCTAGGATGTCTGTCCCTACCTCTGAGCTCTGTAAATTGCGTTTCAGGTACTTTTGAGTCAAAAGGACATCTTTGTATTTAGCAGTCGTAGAAAGTTTTTTGTTTTTTTTTTTTTCCATAAATTTGACCACTCGCTTTTTGGACCCATGTATGTCTGAGCATTCAGATACCCTTGTGGCAAGGACAACTTAATTGCACATTATGTTGCTCACCTTTTGTTTGTCTTTACACTGTCACTTTCTTATTTCATCTGGTGCCCTTTAACTCTTGTATTCTAAGACTATGTGGGCAACTACAGTCTGTTCCTCTTCATCATAGTATTCAGTGCTATGTAGATCACTGTCATTTCTCTCAGGGTGGAATTCTATTCAACTGTGTAATTCCATGTGTGGAAGCTGTCACCCAACCCTAAACTACAAGCACAGGCTTTTCCCTGTCCCATTACTGATCCCAGCGTCATCACTTTTTGATGAAGGGAGTACAACTGTGCACAACATTCAAAAACGTGGTTGCGCTATGATTGTGTGACTTATTCGTAGCCGTGTGGACGTAGATCTACACAATGCCTCAGGAACCTTAGATTCCTATTTGACATCACTGGGTTATTTTCAGAGTCCAGGGGGAGGATGGCCTTGGCGGTGATGCCCTCCTGTTCGGCATGTTTTGTGTTCAGGTGACATATGTTGCAACCTCTACATGTTTTTCAGACTCATTGCTATCCAGGATGCTGTCCCTGTGTTACAATGAAGCCCACGTTCTTCTTTCCTATATGTTGCACCTTATACTTAGATGTAACAAACAGGTTTTTTTTCATGAACTTGGTGTTTCAGGGAATCGAGATTACGTTGTCTTAGGCAAGTGCCACCTGTTACTTTTGCCGTCCCAACAATTCGTTTGTATCCACCCCAATAATTTTACCAGCCAGTTTATCATTTTCTCCCCAATTGCTAATAACATATACCATTGGTATGTGAATAGAACACAACTAGAAATGCATCTATCAAATGGCCGTATAGAGTAAGTCTTCTCAGTTACCCAGTTCTTTCAAACCTGTTAACACTGATCTGTCAGTACACACTGACCGTAGCATACAGCTAACTTTTCTTGTTAGAATGTCATGCAGAACTAAGTCAAATGACTTATAGGAGTCTAAGCATGCTGTATCTATCTAGTTAGCTCTATCAAATTTGTAGGCTTACAAAAAATTACATAAAATTATTTGAAAGTACTTCTTTCAAATTACATTAATTTGAATGACATTACTTTGGGTTCTAGCTTTTACTAATTTACCCAGGACATCCTTTGGCTGTTTGTCTGTGATTGCTTGGGATGTATGTTGAACTAACTGCACTGTAGTTTCTTGGATATTTCTTGGATATCCATGTGAACATATTTAAATACTGGCAAGACATTGGATTTTCTTTTTTCCTCCCAGTTATCTTAAGTTCCCCGGTGTGCCATGATTTGTTATAAAGAAAATCAATGGTTCAGTGAACTCATTAGCCAGTTAAATACTCTTGGATGTAAGTTATCCTCCTGCA